CTTTAAATTTGCATTTAACTCTTTAAATTTAAAGTGAAAAGGATGGGGAAAATCCTTTGTGGGAAATGTGGAAATAGAAGGATGTTTGCCAAAGATCTAACTTAGCATACAGAGCTTCAACTATTCATCAGGATGTGAATGAATGGGAAAAATGGGATCTCCCCCTTCCCTTTACAGGTAGTCCTCATTTAGTGACTGCCTCATTCAGCGACCATTCACAGTTACGACGGTGATGAAAAAGTACCTTTACAACCAATCCTTGCATTTATGACCTTCACAGGTCTATAAAGCAAAGGAAAGCTGAAGGAAGATCATAGTCACAGTTGTGGTTTCACTCAGTGACTGCTTTGCTTAACAACCGTGTTGTTGGTCCCAATTGTGGTTGCTAAACGAGGACTACCTGTAAATAACTTAGGAGAAAAGAAGGGAATACCACAGAGAAAATGCTGTTTTCCAAAAGGGAAAACTTCTGCCCTTTGAATCCCTGTACCAGTTAATCCTGAATTGGAGTCAAAGGTCCAACCCCAGCACCTCTGTTTCACTTCACCTTTGTTTTCTTGCTCCTTGGATCTGCGTCGGGGTTGAGCTACTAGAGGCAATGTGCATGTGTCTTCCGGAACGACGACGCCTGCTACGCTGGCTTCTTCGTTGCTGCGACTTCTTTCAGGTTGGCTGGGGGGCTTCCGGCCCCTGGGGAGGGCCACAGGCTTGGGCGGGTGAGGAGTGGAAGAGAGATCCCTGAATTGCTGCAAAGCAAAGAAGGCCAATGTAGAGATACGAAAGCGGGAGAAATTGCTCTCTCTGGAGCTAAAATGGGGATTTCTCAGCCTTTTGGAATAAGAAGCTTCCAGCTGTTGCTGAACTACGATTCCCAGCAAAGCCAGCCGGCCTGATTCATGGTGTGGAATGCCGGGTGTAGTAGTCTGCAACCTCCAGAGGGTTGCAGAGGGCCATGTGCACGTCCTCCCCTCCTCCGTTTGCTGAAGAAGGATTCGGTGAAAGTCAGAAGCTGGCCCATTTCCTGCCCCGGTCAAGAGAATGAGATGCGCTGAATGAGGCCCTTCCCACTTGGCCAGGGGCTCTGAGCAGGGGGATCTGTAGGAGAAAGCTCTGAGAACGTCTGGCATTTTCCAAACTAAGGTGCTCGTGCTGCCGAGGCGGTAGGAGGCCCACAGAGGCGAGAGCATCAAACAAACCATCCTGGTCCATCTCATCGAGAGCCTCTTCACAACCCTGTTGCACCAACGTCTCCCAGCAGTAGGTGTCAGCCCCACGACGGAGACCAAACCAAGAAACCAATTTCACAAGAAGGCTAAAACGTCTTGTATTAATATCAGCTATAGTAGCAGAATCCTGCAACTCTGGCTGTGATTTATCTCCCCCCCCCGATACTCCTGTGAATGAAGGAGGTGTCTCCCTGAGTCACTTGCACATAGCTTCTGGTTTGGG